CGAACAATTTTAAACTCACATATACATAAGTAATTCAAAGTCCGTTACTTAATGCTGTAGATCGTAGAACGAGATGGCCTATCGTTATATGTAGAACCTTAACGGTGAGATTTTGGGGGTAATTTCCAGGCGCATGAGTTGTTAAAGGAATATGTCTTCAAAGTATGGACCCGGTTGGTATACCAATGACCATATTTAAAGAGTATATAAGAGCTTACACAACTCAACATCCCAGTAAATGCTGGAGTAACCTTTCATTCCGTGAAATCACCTACACTTCCTATATCAGGAAATATAAATCCTATAAAAACTCTTACAGGGCACTACCCATTTCGTTTCTACGCCTTATGGCTAGCGCTGAGCGCACTGGGTTATTATCATAGTTGCAGGAATGCAGCAAATGAAGGAATCGGGTACAATTTGTATTCCATTTTCTATTCGTGGAAGCCTATATGTAGCAAGAATCGAATGTTCAACGATTTTTACCTACGACTAACCTAACCTAGCTTTCCTTTCAGATATAATCATAATGCGATACCCCTAGTCCGTGGAATCTAAAGTATTTTTTGAAAAAAAAATAAAAAATAAAGTCGAGGTGTATTTAGAGTTTTTCGAGTAAAACTGAGAGGTATCCTGGTTTTCCGTCCTCAAAGAAAATCCATAAAATAAATATATATTTATATGTAGTTAAACATTACACTAAAGAAGTAAAGTAAACGATTTCTATAATTATTATTTTTTTGTTGTAATGCCTCCGAGGTGGTCCCATACTAATTTGGTTTTGGTCCGATCATGAAGAAATTAACGGTACTCTTAAATTTTTATATAAGAATTGTAGTCGGTTTCGTTTTTTGCTTAAAAATAACTTGTTTTAAAAATACGTATAAGCAGAAATTAATTCCGTATTTAATTTTCAGTTAAAGAATTAAAATAACATATCGTCGTTACAATAATAAAACAACAATAAACAGTTGAACAATTGTTATAGCATTCCTTTTTGTTACGCCCTGACATCTCGTGCAAGTTTATTTAGAATACATACATACTCAACCCTTTACGAATTTATAAAAAAATGTATGTATGTATTTCTGGTTGTTAAATCGGCTTTAAATTTAATCAAATATTTTAACCTGACAACAAAAAACTATTCTTCTACATATACGCCTACATATATATTATAAATCTATTTTTGCAACCGCACTGAACTATGAAATGGCTTTGCGTCCAACCAACCAACCAGCTAACTATTTTTACCTTTTTACCACGTCAAATGAATTCTTTAGCCAATTAAGTGATGAGGTTACTTGAAATTCTCTTTTGGTTTGAAATTTGTTTTGGTTTGCTTTTTCGGTTGCACTTTGTTAGAATTTTAAAATCCTCACTGCAGCAGTCAATAGTCTAATTCTACATTGAAATGTTTGTAGGTATGTATGTTCTTTTTCGACAGAAATGTATGGTTGTACATACCTTGAGCTTTAATGTAGGAAATTCTGAGGTAAATTCTTGCATTGTAGTTGCGAAGTAAATCTAAATACTTACATACTTACATACTTACATATGTATGTATGTAGCTATGGAGTGGCTGTGGAGGAGTTATAGGGGAAAATAGCATTGATGCACTGGTTGGTATTTTACCTACTGCACATCAATGTATTATAGCATTGAACCAAACTGTCTGTAAGATAATGTCAATATGATGTCCGGTGAGACACATAGAGGGTTGGGATTTTTTTTGTAGAAGTTTGGTGACGCCTGATTAAGAAATCATAACTGAGTATGCCAGAGGAAGATTTTCATATTGCATCCATTTGAAACACTAGATAATTGGTTGGAGTAAAAATTTTGAAGTTCAACTAAATTATAACTATGTCTTATTGTGTAGAACTTCAAGTTCTGAACTTGGCATTTGAAAATATTGTGAATTGATTACTGAGCTGAGTCCAAAAAAAATATTTTGGATATGTTGTGGCACAGCATTTGCCAAGTACCTATACATAAAAGACTTCAAATTGTATTTGTATATTATGAGAAGAAGATGAGATCCTCAATAAATACATACTTGAAAACTGGTGTGAGACAAACAGTGGAGTAAACATCTAGCTTGGGTTACGACCTATGCCTTCCGCCATTACCAAAAAGGTAAACGCTTATTCTTCTTATTTGGCACTGTAACCGCCGAGTTCAACAAATGATGCCAGTCGTTTCTCCTTGGTGCCAAATGACGCTAATTGGATATGTCAAGCGAAGCCAAGTCCTGCTTCACTTAGTCTTTCCATGTCGCATGGCATGTCTCAAAACCTAAAAGTAGGTCCGCACAGATTCGAGTGCCCCCTGTCGGAACTGACTAATTCATGTCTGAGATTTTAGACAGATCAATTTCAAAATAGCTCGACTATTTCCCTCAGTCAGATTTAAGTTTTCCAAATACATATCCGTTCTATACTAATGTATTTATATTAGGGCGCATCACTCTTCGTAAAAAAATAATAGATTTTCTGTGTTTTTCAATTGGAAATATAAAATTTATAGTATTTTAAGACATCTTCGGAAAAATACTAAGATTTACATGAGCTGGACCTATTTGAAAATAAACACCTCCAAAATTCGAGTTTTTCATAAATGAAATTTGTTTGTTGAAATAATTTTTTTTAAATCACCTCTGATAATAGAGGAGGTTAAACTCAAAAGGTCCACATAAAAATGTTTGCTTTTCGGAGGTATCTTCAAATCGGAATAGCTCACAAATGTAGATATATCTTAATATTTCTCTGAATTTTTTTTTTTGGCGGAAGTTTTAAAATATAATAAATTGAATGCTTCCGTAAAAAAATGCATTTTTTTTTTTGGTGATGCACCCTAATATATGTATATTTGCCTGTGTCAAATAAAGCCGCAATTTTTTTTCTTCCAGTCCCATTTGAAAATGACGTTGTTAGTCCCAAAAAATAATTTTGTAAAAATTTCAGTCCTCCATTTTCATTTTTCAGTTAATGCTCGTAAAAATAAGAATTTAGAAATAAGCGAAACCTTAAAAAAGTCAACGGTAAGTCCTATTTATTTACTTCAAACTTGCACTGGTTGTTTTTTTACTAACAACGAAATTGACATAGTGTAATGTAGATGTACAAGTCCCGAATGGAAAAAGCTCTCTCGCACTGTACTCAGATTTTCACTATCATTTAAATTAATTTTCATATCATGTTTCAATAATATGAAGGAGGAAAACTTTTTCCAATACACTTTTTTCTATGTTTTACGTAAAAATCGCAAAATCTTTTCTACCCGCTTGAAATTAAATTTATTACATGCTAATCCACCTTAACTTCGCTACGAATCCTTGACATTGTGCCACTAAATTGAAATTAATTCGGGGTTAAAATAACGCACACAAGAAAAAGTAGACTAGTGCAGAATCAGCGCAATTTGCACGTACAAACACACAAACACACAAACACACACACACACATATCCGGCAATTGCATCCTTTGCTCCTAGAGCACTCAATTTCACATGCCCAACGCACGCTGCATAAATGTATTTATGTGCATAAATGTATGTAGTTTGTCTGCGCCTGAAAGTGTGCTAAACGTAGGGCTGCTTTACTGCTTAGCAACACCTTGACGCCACCACACACCTTTGCAAGCAACAAAGCTACTGTTAGTGCCAGACGCCATGCCAGTCGGTCTGTCTGTCGGGGCGTCTAGCTCTGTGCACAAGACCACTCGTCTGCCAGTCTCAACATCTGCCTGTGTTTCAATCCCTATGCTGCTTTTTGTGTCCCTAAAATTGTCTACTGGCTGGTACTCAGCACTGCGGCGGATGAGTGACTTATGTCTGGCGTGTAGACGACTCGCCGTTTTTCGTTACAATGTGTGAATGAATGGACCAGAAAAGAGAAAAGTACCGGCAATAAAAGCAAAAGAACACAAAAAATTACCAAAACTTACAGCGAATGCTGACGAAACGGCCGCCGAGCACCGGCGAATACTAAAATGATGTGGAAAATTTGCAACATTGTAGCCAAGCAGCAGCAGCTAAACAGTTGCAACATAACCACCGACGCACACACACACACTTTAACGTATGGCCGCAATTGAAGAAAAGCACGCTACAATCGGCTTTTACCGCAATTGGCAGTGTGGCATGCCAGACGAAGGAAATTGCGAAAAATTGCGCGCAGCGTCTAAAGGGTTAAACTGGCTGGCTGGTTGGTTATTAAAGCTTCGTGCACAGCAGACAGGATTACAACAACTTAAATGCTGCCTATTTGACGGCGAACGTATGCAACATTTATGTATATATGTATGTATGTGTGTGCATGCGATGCTAGGCATACACACACACATTTGCATGTTTACATAGCAGTCCGCACAAAAGTGCCTAGCCCACCCTCCCCCCACCCCCCTCTGTTTGCCCCTCTACAGCCAGTGACAGCGCTGGCTGCGTCGACATTGACTTCGCTGCCACGCGCCGTAGCAGCGCTCTCTATTGCTGCAGCTCCCGCTGCCACTGCTGCTGCGTTGCTTACCCTTGAAAATTTTTGCTTGGTCTGCATTGTTGCCTTTGCTGCTGATTTTTCGCACCAACACAAATGCACCTTTTTTTGCAGATTGTTATGCTCCCTATTGTAGCTGTAGGAGGAAATCATATTGCAGCCGCATACACTCAAATAAAGCAATGAAGTTTGTCGTTGAAAAAAAGCTACAAGTTCAATATACGACTTTTTGCAAATAAAAAGTAAAAATGAATGAAGAAAACAAGTTGCTGGAATAAATGCAAGGAAAAAATTGTAGAGAAGTGGCGTGCAAAAATAATTTTTTTCTTGAATGGCCGTGGGAAATTTTCACAATTCAACGAAGCGTGAAAATTTCCCACCCTAAAGCGCAGGCGTTATCTTCCGTGCTCTCTCTCTCTCTCTCGGCCTTTCTTATCAATTTACGCTCTCAAATTGCCATTGCGCGCTCACTAAATGTTTCATTTTCTAATTTTTTTCTTTACAGTAAACCGCTGCTCCCTCATCATCGTAGCAACGTATTGAACACCTGTGCATGGGACCGAACCACCCTTTGGGCGACAGTTGCAACTATTCGCCTCAGGCGCGAAGCTACGAGCACCGCTGGGCAAGCGGATGCCCACAAATTTTAGATGCGCTCGTGAAGTACTTCCGTTAATTGCTCTTCGCCAACAGTTTACCGTTATAACAGTGCTCGTGAGTAGCGTTTCGTTGTTGAGTCGCAAAGTTTTCGCCGCATTAATTTCGACTTGTACAGCGAATGTGACACTCGGTTGCTTATTTCGTTTGCTCGTGGTGCTATTCACGGTAGTGCGGCTCACTCGGTTGATTTTGCTATCGCGTTGGTGTTAGTGTATCGGTGTAGCGCTAGTCGCGTGTGTGTTTATTTAACACAAATCCTGTCGCTCAGCGAACTCAGTTCGGGCTTGAAATTCGTGATGTGCGGTTACAAGTTTACGGCTGGCACGCGTCAGCAACGGCGACCAAATGTTTGAACGAAATTTTTTCGGATTTTGATAAAGTGAAAGCCAAGAAGTTGGGGTATATTGTGGTGATTGTTTCTTTTCGCACCACAATTCAAATTATGTGAAAACAATAATCAAAGCATTATCTGTACTCGGATGCAATAGGATTTGTATGCTGGATGAAGAGCTTCGAAATACGCGTGTCAATAGTCTTAAACACGTTAAAAAAGATACACAAATCGTTGACATAAAATGACTGAGGAATACTCTAAAACTAATATGCAAAGGAAAACGCTCAATATCAACTTCGAATTGCTCAAAACAGCTTAATAAGGAAAGCAGTGTTTATGTTTGAAAATTTAAAAGTATTCAATAAGAGAATTACTATACAGTTTAGTAGAAGAGAAAAAAAGGACGTGGGCAAATGTGCGTCAGTGTTTTAAGCGTAACAAATAATTGAAAAACCCAAATTGATATTATCCATTATCAGAGGAAATATTAATCTTACTTAATAACGAAAATAAATGATTTCGAAAATGTGCAAAGCACACAGCTGGCATTGCGATGCCGCATGGACAACTGTGCCGCGGCTGCTGGCATCTCTATTGTTGTTGCTGCTTGTGGATTACGCATACTCGGATTATGAAAACACATGGAATTTGTATTATGAACAGCCGTGCTGCTTGGGCTCGCCCAGTGGACATCACATACGGCATCACAGAGGTGAGTGAATTAGAAAAATGTAGAGAAAATTTGTAAAAAAAAAAACAATAAAAAACTAAATATTTGAAATACCACAAACGTGAAATATTTTAAACATCCAAAAATATTAAGGTATGTCGATTGATTTCGATCAGGATAGATCTTAAGTCTTGTACATGCGCTGCTATATCGGCTATCTGTCTATTTTTTGGCCCATAATTAAATCGGTAAAGGTATGGGTAAAGGAAATAAAGTTGTGTCAAAATATGTCGACAAATTTTTGGCATAGTGAAAACCAGTTGTAACACGCAAAATGCTTCCGATGGCAAATAGTACTATTTGAGACAATAAATTCTGATGTGACATTTGACGAAAAAAAATCTACAATATATTGTAAATTTTAAACACCTTTTTATATATATATTTTTGTTATTTTTTGGCTTTAGATATAACAATTACATGGCGAACTTAGCTCAGTGGGTAGACCACTGGATTTGTACGCCGGAGCAACCAGCAAGTCCCAGGGAACTCGATGAAGAACTCTGATGAATTATCAGCTATAACTTCTACTTATTTTTGTTTTCCCTCAATATTTTTAACCAAAAATGGCCTCAAGCTCAATAAAATTTTTGAAAATTTTTTATGAGAAAATTATGATATCTTAACGGGAACATTTTTTATGTTATAGATATATTTTGGTAAATTATTACCAGTTAATTATAATCAATCCATTTTCTCGTTTAAAAGTAAGCCTATTAAAAGAAAGAAATGCAGATTAACTGTAGAAAAAATAATAATTTTTTAGCCACCGGACAAATTTAAAATTCTTTGATATCGTTTATACATTAGTACATTAAGATGAAATCTTTTATTGCAAAATATGACACAAAAAAAATATATTAACAAATTATATAGTATTTATAATTACACAGAGTTTTTACAATAACCTATATAGAAAATTTATAACCTTTGAAGTTGTGCTTAGGTAAGACTTCTTCTAAGATGCTGGCAGAGAGCTCCAAAGTAGTTTTACAGCATTAATAAAAAATAGTCTCGACGTGTACGGAGTGTACACTTCTAAGGAACTTGAGTTTATCATACAGATATTTCGGTTTCTTAAACATAATTAGATTGAACATAAAAACGCAAGCTTTTAGGGAATTTCTTAGGTCGCGTCCTAGTATCGAATTTCTGAGAATATTTAAATGATCAAATTTCCTTAACCCATGTACATATATGGTGGCAAAATTAAAGACAACGTTAAGTTTTTGAAATCACTGAGAGTCAAGTTCGCTACAAACTATATCAGAATAAGTAATGAGGGGGAACAATTAGACTAATTACCATATGTTTTTTTAGTGTCTTGGGGTGTAAAAGCAGAGGTAGCTCGGAGACACCGCAGTGTATAGTAAAATTTTCTAACGACATCGTTTATGTGATCCTCACAAGTCAGTCTAGAATTTACTATGAAGGCAAGTTTTTTTTTACTTTATCAACTAATCAAAGAATATCAGCACCAAGATACATATATCTAGGTGGGGACCTCAGAGGGCTTGATCTTATCCTTGCATATTGGAAGCACATAGGATTTCCTAGCATTAAAGAGAAGCAGGTTTTCATTTGAACACTTAGGAATAGAATGCAAATCATAATTTAGTTGAAGCGCGATTTCCTTAACCATGCCAGTGCGATCAGAGATGAAGAGATCAAGATGAACATCGTCAGCGTAAGCATGTTAACAGGCATGTGAGCATGCATTGAAAATATCATTTATAAACATGCCAAAGAGAAGAGAGCCAAGTATGGAACCCTGTGGAACACCAGAGTGAATGTGCACAAGATCAAAAAAAAATGTTATCAACTTTTACTTCTTGCATTACATATATTACTTAAATAGCTACTAAGAAATCGCACTGCTAAATCCCCAAAGCCAAACTTTTGTTTAAGTTGCTCACACAGCAAGACACGGTTGACAGAGTCAAATGCTTTAGAGAAGTCTAGGAGAGGGTAAGGAGGGTAAGGTGATCAAAACTGATGACCAACATTATCCAAGATTTTTGTAACAGCAGTTGAGCATGAGTGGACAGCCCTGAAGTCAGATTGAAGCGGGTTGAGTAGATTATTCTCTTCGATAAACTGTGTTATCTGTTGTGCCATAAGCCTTTCAAGGACCTTAGACAATCCGGGAAAAATACTTATAGACCGAAAATCTGTAAGCAGGGTGGCGCCGGGTTTTTTGGGAGTGAAACATTGCAATAGATGCAATATTTAAAAATTTTGAATAGCCCTACTTTATTTCAAATAGTTGAAGTTGATTGATACCATCATTTATTTGCGTTTCTCTGCCTTAGCGTTACTTTTAACTTTAAAACATAATATTTATATAGTAAAAAAGTTCCTTAAGCTTACATACAGTTTAGTTACGTAAACTTAATATACTTCTCTCAACACATGATTATAGGTTATAGTTACATTATTTACTTACAGCGGGCTTTTTTCTGAGTATAGGTCTACATCTTCTTTTTCTGGCACATCGGACCAAAGTTATAATACCATTTCATGGTCATGAAAGTTTTAAACTGTAAGCAGGGAATATCGAAACCTTAGAGAATTTCGGAAAATTTACTACTTCCATTCATAGGTTTGGTGAGCATGGAAATGTGCGAAATTTTACTAGTATGCATACATATTTCTCTTTACTTGGTGTTAATATTTTCTACCATAAACAACAAATTTTCGAACATAAGTAATTTGTATGTAAGAAAATACGTGACACAGTCAGTAAAAATATTAACAAAAATTAACACGAATTCATAGCCACTGAAACTTGCCTTTTATTCGCCCAGAATTTAATGGGCTATGGAACTGCATGGTTAGAATTTAGAATAAAAGGTTTGTTGTTTTCGGGACAATATTTGGAATTCTTCTAATTTACCTACAAAGTTTGAAATTCGGACTTACTTATACGGTTTTTGTTAGATAATGAGTGGTATTTTCATCAAAAAATATTAACATTAAAGGACCCACAAAAAGAAAATATCAACAATTGATCAACATATCGTGTCTCTATTATTTTTCACATGACTGTATATACACTGAAAAAAGAATTTAGTTACCTCAACACGTGATTTGGTTATAGTTACATTAACTGTTTATAGTTGCCAAATCATGAGAAATGTATGTATACGTTCAGCTGACTTTTTTCTGAGTGTACTATTACTTGGCAGCGCTATTTTAGAATATGGACTTTTGACTTTAATATTAAAATTAATCACTTAATTGAAGGCGAAACCGACAATACATCATATCAACGGCTGAGTGGAAGATCGAGTTCTTCAATCAAATTTTGAAATAGAATGTTAATGGAAAGTTTTCTGAGTTAGAGCGTTTTTGAATTGGCCGCCGAGATAGGTCGATCTTCCACCCGTCGATCTATATTTGGAATCAAGGAAAGCTAAGTCTTTGTATTTTTTATTGATGATACTCCACTTCTTTACAGAGGAAGGCAACTTCCATAAAATTCGTTTCCTGGCAATGATATTACAGATATTTGACATAAGCTTTAATTAAAAAATAAAGAGCAATGTACCAAAATACTACGCTTGGTGGAGGAACTGAAGGAATCAGAATAAATATCGTCAATAACGACGACACATTTAACGAGGGAGATGTGCGACTTTAGCAAATTATAAAGTCTTCAAACCATTATTGCACGTTGGTATGAAGTTCCCCATGGTTAACATAATTCGGCATTGACTATCAAATGATCCGGTTACGCTGCTATAGATACTTGCTAACAGGCAGGCGACCGCTATGGTGTAGTGGTCAGAAGTGCGCGCTTCCACTCTGCAGGGCCTGGGTGCAAGTCCTGGTCAAAGCAACATCGTAAACAAATGTAGAAAATAGGTAAACCTCCGATTGTATTTCTGGCATTAAAAACAGAGTCTCATAAAAATAAAACCGCCGTTCGAAGTCGGCGTAAAACTGTAGGTTCCTCCCCTTTGTGTGACAACATCAAGGCGCGCGCCACAAATCGGAGGAGAAACTCGGCCAAACGCTAACATATGTGTAGGCGTCAATCTACTATTATTATTAAGGTATTATAATGCCATTATGCTTTAAGTTGCACGAGTGTAGAAAAGGTAGTACTCACTAGTAAAGAATTTGTGCGGCAGAAAGACAATAACATCTAAGTAAGAAAAAACAAAGCATTTTCTTTGCAAAATTCTTTGCTATTGAATGTGATTTATATATGTAAATAAAAAGTCAAAAAGACATACATATCGTCGATGTTTTTGCAAAACCGTATATCGACCAGTTGCAAAACCGCCTAAAACACCGTTGTGGCAAAACCCTGTGGTAACCCTGAATAAACCGTTTTTTCGCTCGCCTGTAAAATTTGAGTGCCGCAGGATAGGCGGTTTTGCAATTGGTCGATGGGCGGTTTTACAAAAACATTGACGATATATTTCTTTTAGCATTCCGAATGACAAACCTTTGTAATGAAATGCGCAAAAAAGTTATCTTCCATTAAAAAAACAATAAGACCTAATTAAAAAGAGGTTTGACAGAAAAGTTAAAAACTAAGAAGTGGAAAAATTTAAATCTACATTTTCTTGAAATCGCAATTCACTACTTGGCTGTTTAATTTGCAACTTTTCTCTCCCGCATCTATTTTGCTCATTTCTGTGCCACTTTTGTTTGGTTACTTTTTCCTTGTGGTGCACTTGCGTTTTTCTAATAAATATTTCGCGAGATCCCCAGCGCTGCTTTTGTTTGGCACTTTTGCTTTTAGTCTAGATTTAGATTTTTGCATTTAACTATACGTATTTCAAGTTTTTCTTTTACAAATCTTCCGAATTCTTCATTGGTCTATTTGTATTTTGTGTAATGCCACTTATTGGTATTGTTCTTTCTGCGATTCTATTTCTGCAGCTCTGTGTAAATCTCTTAACAAAATAATTTTACTTTAAGCCGCTTTTCTCTTATTTCAATGGCATTGTTTGCCATGCCGCCTTGGC